TATTACAGCTGGAGAGAAGGCACTTGTATTTCTGTATGGTGGTGACTCAACAGAAGATCTAGATTCTTTGAGGTACAGAAGATATTGCGTAAAGGTATCATCAATCTCGTCTGCCTTAGAAGCAAAGACTTTGCCACCAACTTCAGCAGCAGCAAATTTAGTTCCACGGTCTGCGTGTGTACTATCAGAGGGCAGACGACCTGACACCGGGAGACTGGGGTTGGCAGGTCACGGATGGGAAAGTATATTCCAATACAAACTGATACAATATTTCATTATGAATTGTACCTGTATAAAATATCACTACTGATAAGAGACCACAGTAATGTTTCCCCATTGTAATGATTTCCCTATATCTGAACATGTATTACGAGATCACTTATGTCAAGAAACGACTTCTGCAACCTCCAGAGCTGAGTTCTTTCCAACACAGACAATAACTCTAGGTAGATTGAAGTGATCAGCATCGTGGGATTATACACACTGTCTCTTGATTCCTCACCTTAACCTTTCGGTTAATGTCCTAAGGACCTTGGAGAAGTATATAAACGTTCTTGTGTTTTCCTTTTTTGCTGGTGTTACTTCAAATATAAATCTTCGTTACCTTCATACAAGTCTGGAATAGATGCTGACGTACATGTAACAGCAATAAATGCAGACACTGAGATCCTAATCGTATTTGAATGTCATACGAGTCTGGAAAGGTTGCTGACTTAATAGCAATAAACGCAGAAACTGACATCATAATCCTATTTTAATGTCTTTGAATAGTCGCTTAATAGGCTAGGAATATTGTGTTTTGAGGTCAAACAAATAGCAATACAAACAATCACTGCAATGCATTTTAGTAAGGGCCCCAAAATGACATACTAACAGTCAAAAAAATCCGTGTAGTGATTTCAATATTTACTTGTAATAGAAACATTGATATAAGATAGGTTTCAATTACTTTGACATTGTTGTAAAAGTCAAAGAGCATTATACAATGTCGTCTGTCTTATGTTCACAAGTGTACCAACACGTAAAACAAGATTACTACTACTAATGTGGAAAATTTCAAACTAGTCAATAACATTACATTTTTCGATATATCTCCATCACCCACGCAGGTATACTAACATATGGAGATGTTAGCCAGGTAGCATAGGACTAGTAGCTAGAGTCTGATAAGGCATCTCCTGCGAATTCCTCAAAAATGTATTGATTAATGTAGATGCTAATTGTAATGATTGTATAAATTGTATATCTGCGTACTGTTAAGCGCTTTAGCGTGTGGCTTTTTCTAGCTAGATAGGGCGCTATATAAATATTTTTATAAATATTATTCTATGTTACCGAATGATAGTTGTTCGAAATTTTCTAAATACAAACAAACAAATTAATTAATTAAACGTAAACGATAGGGGTCAAGCTCACGACCTTTAAATGGTACAAACTAAATTTTACCATGTTGCCAAACAGGAGTGATGCACTGGATCAAAACGAGTATGTTATTGATGGGCCGCAACCTCAGAAAACTTGAAAAGGGAAGTTGCTCAGAAAAAAAACTTATGATTGCTTCATCTACAAAATAAAAGGCAAACTAGTTCTAGTAAAATACTGATAGGATAACTTCTTAACTGCTGTACAATCTCGATGATAAGCCTGATTTGAAAAAAAAGACCGGCTTTAAAATTAAGCGTTAGATTATTCGCAGCCAAACATATCTCCACAGTAAACCGGGTTTGATACGACACAAATCCTCAATGGCTATGGACATGTAATCTGTAGCTATGTAATTTGTACACTCCAACGTTGAACTTTATTTCAGCACCAATATGCTTTTGAAATTGAGGCAAATATGAAATTTTGGCATGGGCCGATAACAAAGCTTCAAAACTAAGACGAAATTAGAAATAAACTGTCCAAGGCATACAGTTTAAACGACTTCGAAATGTGACGGCATTGAGACTTTAAAAATACTAAAAGAACGTTAGTCCTTGATTCGGTACTAAAACCGGAAATAACTTCCGATGCATGTTTGAGATTTACCTATAGACAAAGTACAGGTCGCAGTACAAAATTCTGGTATACACATACAAGGCACTGAATGGAACAGCTCCTCCGTACCTACAGGAACTTGTAACCCTGTATCAGCCGTCAAGATCACTGCGGTCGGAGTCAGAATCTTTGTTGTGTGTCCGAAAATCTCGTACTGTAAACTACGGAAACAGATGCTTTGGGAGGGTTTCGGCTACTTTGTGGAAAAGCTTACCATCTGCTATTAGGAAGTCGAATACCCTGGCCAAGTCCAAGAGGAACATAAAAACTCACCTCTTCCCGTCTGCATTTTAGAATCTTTGCAAAGACGTCATGTAAATACCACCCTTTTATTTGTTCAATTATGTGCACATTGCTTGTTAAATGTATGAAAGTGATTGCAAACCTTTGTTGTTTGTTTTCACAATTATAACCATTACTATTATCCATATGTTGTAAAGCGCCTTAGAGTAATTTTACAAATTATATAGGGCGCTATATAAATGCTGTATATTATTATTATTATTAAAAGAGTCAGAATTACATCAAAGTAGCATAAACAGAGGAACGTGTGTGATATTAACGTCTTAGTCTCGTACAAGTTAGTGTAAACATACACATTAACCTTGTCACCACCGTAGATCATAATGGAATAATCCAGATCAATGTGTGGTAGAGTTTACTAAAGTTACATAGGGGTGGAAGGGTTATTAATCCACATCCAATCAAAAAAAAATATCAATAGATGAATTGTGTGCATAAAGAGTAGAGTATATATCTGTTATTCCAAATCAATAGAAAAACGTGCATAAAACTATCTCGCTCCTGTTCATCGCAAATATGACGTTACTTGCCATATTTGTTTTTAGGTTTCCAGGACATATTAGAATATACACATATATTTTATGAATCCAAAGCGGTTCCATCATAAAAGATAACAATGTAACAATACAACAAAGTATACACTCAATAGTATGGGTTTTCTTACAATAAATGCACAGTGCCCGTTTATAGAAACCTGAAAGACGGGTTAAGTCAACGTCGGAAGGGGCATAACTCGTATAGTTAAAACATTAAAAATCTTAGATATGAACTTTTCTGAAATTTGCATCATCTTATAAAATATATAACGACATGTGCAACACTCGTATTATCCACATACACATACTTTCCAAATATCGATATTCTTAGAATAACACAATGTATCACGGCTCTAAAAGTACATAATTATGTGGATACCTTTGGTTAATATAATTTTAGCGGAAGCACAATACACACATTCACTGATAAGGGAACATGTATGTGTTGATACAGGGCGGACCTCATTAAGGCATTTACACACGATAGAAACATAAATAAGTGCATATTACCAAGTTCAGATGTAAATTGCTTCAAATGATTCTCGATGTCATGTTTTTCCTAATATAACAGTCTATTGAAATCAAAAGCAACATTTGTAAATGTTAATACCATATATTTCTTCGATACAAATTTCGTGAAACCACTTTAGAAATTTAACGTGTAACGCCACCTTATCAGGAATGGTAACTAAATCTTTCCTTCGACGATTTCTTCATGTTCGCTTTCAGATTAAAACTCGGTGCCAACATCCGTTCGAGATCTTCTACTCGTTCTTTTTTTAGCGAAAATGTGATTTTATTGAAAATCCATGCTCATGGTCGTTGCTCGGGGAGAACGCCTATTTCAATTTTCAGTAAACTTGATGTAAATAACCTCTGTGTCATCCTCTGTAAATTGAATCTTTTAAACGTTTGGTGATTTGAGTACGAATATCTTTCCTTACTTTATGCTATCCTCGGGATAGTAAATTCAGACGGTTCTTCTGTCAATAACGGTCAAAACTTGTCTTTGATTGCATTGAGAAGTCCTGTCCATATTGTATGATGATTATTTGTTAAGTACTCTGAGGATAACACGGTATCAAATTCGGGATACTAAAACATGCATTTTATCAAATATATATAGTATCTTACATGGGTTTTTCATTTCATATGAGATTTTATGAAACTCATCTCGAAGTTTTAATTTTTGCTCGCGAAGGCTCGAAAAAATAAAAACTCCTAAGACTCGTTTCATTAAAGTTCACATGAAATGAAAACAAATTTAAGATACTTTTTATTACATAACTCAGAAAACTTACATTTTGACAGGACTTAAAGCCAAAATGTAGTGGGCCTAATCAAACGGAGACAGCCATTTTGTTGCGCCATTCATAATTTATGACGTCACATCATCGTCCATATTATAACGTCACAATCGATGTTTGACCGACACGGCCAATGAAAAACGCTCCAGGTTATATTACACTAGTGACATATGTAAAAATATTACACGGACGAATTCACTGAATAACAGACCGATTATGTGATAAAATGATTTATTCTTTCTGAATGTTTTTGTTTGTTAGTTTATATACTGTCCTTTTATCGTCATATGATTATTTGCAATCCCTCGCGAAGTTATAGATATAAGCTAAATTCCTAATATCTATCAAAATGATACTCGATTAATATCAATGCCTTTTCGTAAAAATAATTTCATTTCCATTCCAAAATGGTTCTAATAATGTAGAGCTTATGGTTATTACGTTAATTCAGATTTTTGTTTGCAACATATCAAATGTTGTCTTACAAAAAAAAAAAGTGCGAAACATAGATGGCACACAAGTAAAAGACTCTGTATATAATCTTGAAACATATCCCCACGATAGAGCTGTCAGTTACAAACCTTTAATATCATCAAATAACGTATTTACCAACCTTGGAAAAGAATATAAATAGACCTTAAAGTTAGCTCTCAATGCCAAACGAAAGTTTTGCATGAGATGTGTATCGGATGACTGAAATGTAGAAAAAGTTTCAAATTTTTCGAGTTATAACTAAAGGTTGTGTGTTCTAGAAAATTTCCCTTGGCATTGAGAATATTTAATATTTACAACAAACCAAAAAACGTCATGCAGATATTTTTGATGCAAAATTTATTCCATTTCAACAAAAATTAACGTGAGTACCGTTACTGAAATGAACGAGTCTCTCCACCAGACATTTTATTTTACTGTTGTCTATGTTATAATAGTGTTGGAGTGAGCATTGGCCCCTACAATACAAATAATAGGAGATTAAAATACATTCATACAATAAGCATATGTCATTTAGTATTAAAATTATTATTATTACTATCATATGTTTTTTTAAATGTATAAAAAAATCATTTTTGATAGTATCACAGAGTTTATTTCACAATTACGCAGCTCATACAATCGGCATAAATGTAATTTATTGTTTAGTGTCATTTACATTTTGTCAATTCTATATAACTTTATATTAATTAATTTTGATGCATTTTTAACGATGAATAAAAATCACTTCATGCGATGTCCATTGATGAATTATTTCACAATTAATAAGCTAAAACGAAGGCAAATAGCCTACACAGGCAGATAAGCACTATATGTTCTATCAATAGAAAATTCCCATGATAAGATGATTTTTTTAATAAGTATTTATTTAATACAGCCAGCATAGGCAAAGAAGAATGAAATTTATTTTTTAATGAAATAAAGTTATGTCTCTTTGCAACATACCATTTCCGGACAGATGGACAGATAACGTCTTCGTTGAGTCGGTGAGTGTGAAGGTATGCGTTTCAATTGTCTGTCCATGTGACTTGACCTTGAGGGTATAGTCACCTTTAAATCCTCGAATCGTCTGGTTGTGGAGATTGGTTGTCTTGTGTGTTCGCCATTTCCGGTACAGCTGCTGGTACCTCAACCCTGCTGCATTTGGCTGAAAATGATTGTTACATCTAGTTGCATGTAGTGTTCAGGCTATCATATTTGAGATAAGGTATACGTTTCTGTTATGCCTGGCAGTCGTGTATGTGTTCTTCTTTAGTTAATTTTAATTTTTAAGCAAACGTAATACGGCTTACTTTAGTGGTTGTCTTATCCAAGTACCATTAGGGCTCAATAAATAGTGCCATTAAGGAAAACAGCTGAACCTTTCTTCAATAATTAACAAAAATAATCATTCAAGCTTTTGTATACCCCTTTATCAAAACCTAGTTCGTAGGTCGTCTCAAAGCGGTTCATAAATTACTATCCGTGGTTATAGGGCCTTTGCAACCGGTCAATATCTTTCACAAATCCCTGGGGAGGATACAGACGGTGCTGCTATTTCGGCGCTCACAGCTACGTTCAACAATTTACAGCCGAGTAGTCCGGAATAAGCAGGGTAATGTATCTTACTCAAAGATACAATACAGTGCCGTAGAAAATAAGAAAAAAAAGAACTGTCCGACTGACCGCCAGATACTGTAAGATCGATACTTAGGTAGCGCTCACCCTTCCGGAACACCTGATCTTATCCTCCTTTTTTAGCTCACCGGGTCCGATGAACCAGGGTGAGCTTATGCCACACCGTACGTCAACAATTTCTTCATACGACTTCTTCCTCTTAACCACTAAATCGAATTCATTGATATTTGACTGGAAGCATCCCTTGATGGTGGGGATTCAAAATTGTACAAATGGTAGGACTGAGCCACAGGGGACTTAGAGGCGGGGACATAGGGAGCATTTTGGTTCTATTGCTATACATGTCTCTTCTGTAGAACTATGCAATGGATATCGATCATATTTAGTCAGAAGCATTCACGGGAGGCGTGGATTCAAAATTGTACAAATGGTAGGACTGACCCAAAGGGGGCTAAGAGGCGGGGACATAGGGAGCAATTTGGCTATATTGCTATACATGTCTCTTCTGTAGAACTATACAATGGATAGCAATCATATTTAGTCAGAAGCATTCACGGGTGGCGTGGATTTTAAAATTGTACAAATGGTGTGGCTGACTCCCCAGGGCGCTTCGGGGCAGGGCCAAAAAGGGTTATTTGGCTATATTGTTTTAAGCTACTTCTTCCCTGTGCCTAAGGCATGGGTATCAACCATATTTGACTTGAATCATCTCTAGGTAGTGGGGATTCAAAATGGTACAAATGGTGGGGCTGACTTTCAAGGGGACTGAGGGGCCGTGGCACTGGGTATCAATCATTTTTGATCTGAAGCATTCATTTGAGACTGGGATTCACAATTGGACAAATGGTGGGGCTGACCCCCTGGGCTAAGGGGCCGGGCCAAAAATAGTTCAATATTTGGAAATGATTGCGGTCCCCACTCTATAACCATATATTCAATCGCTGAGTATAAAGAAAAGAATGTTCATATGCTTCCAATATGGCACTGGGGTCTGACCCGACCTTTTAGAGACATAGTCTGTGGGTTCATATCTTTGAAACGGTTGAGATCCCCACCCCAAAGCTATACATACACGTACTGGACATAAAGAGACGAATGCAATCATAATATTAGAATAGACAATGGGGTCTGCCCAAATCCATGGGGACCTAGTTTGTAAGGTCACAGATTGGAAGCAGTTGTTATACCAACCCTATAGCCGTATATGGAATTGCTGACTATAAAGAGAAGGATGCATATTATACCCTAGGCCATAACTTCGAAACGGTTAAGATCCCCAACCCAAACCAATATATACAATTGTTGGGCATAAAAAGGTGAATGCAGCCATAGTATCAAAATTGACGCTGGGGTCTGCCCAACCCTTGCAGACTTAACCCCTGGGTCATAACTTTGAAGCGGTTGAGATCCCCGTCCAAAACTATATAATAATAAAAAGGCTGGGAATAAAGAGACGAATGCAATCATGATATTAGATTAGACCATGGGGTCTGGCAAAACCCATATGAACCTAGTTTCTGAGTCACAGCTTGGAAACAGTTGAGATCCGCACCCCATAACCATACATAAAATTGCTGGGCATGAACAATCTGATACAGATATGCTACAAGCATTGACCTTTGTGTGTGGCCCGTTCCCTCGGATCTTATTTTGATAATATTTTGCCATGATTGCTTAGATATCCAGGTGTGAGCGATACAGGCCCTCTGGGCCTCTTGTCTTTATGCAAAGTTCTAATTAATGTTATGATAACTTTTTGTTATGAACGTTCATCCCAATGTTATGATTTATCTTACAAAAGTGCAGTTTGTTTACGATGCAACAGCTGATCATCAACCACAGAGGTGCAAGTTGAATAAAATTGTTATTTTACGAAATTGTATCTTGAACATACATTTATCACATACCTATGTAATCTTACAATAGTAATACTACACATTTCTGTCGGTTTGTATCACACATGTGTGATACAAGATGTATAACACATGTGTGATACAATATTTTGTATCACCATACTAGCCGGAACTACTTTTTAGGGGAATTCCCTTGTCATGGCGAGCTGAAAAGTTCCCGGTATTTTCAAAAATATCTAAGTTTATAAAATCTTTGTATCGATCTCTACCAAATACGGAAGGTATGTGATAAAAGCAGGACCACACACTTCTGTTTTTTTAACGAATCAGAAAGCCCGAGTTTATTGCGCGGACGAATATATGCACGAGTGAATATATACGTCCTCGCAATAAATGAGTGCTTTCTGATTCGTTAGAAAAACACAAGTGTGTGGTCTTGCATATATGTATATTACCAGTAAATGTCCGAATCAGTAGGAATCAAATGCGATTCATTGGCAAGTGTTGCAATGTGTCCTATTGTGTAAACTTTAAGTTATGTGCCAATTTGATAGATTTAATGTTAATACAAATGAAGAGAAATATTTGACTGCTTTTTGAGTTATTGAAATTTCTCCCGTCAAAACGACATTTACTTGCCTGGGCAAGCTGTGGGTTACCATTGGTTGTCCAAATTAAACAATAAAGATTTAAGGATTTTTAATATATCTCGTCATTATATTTAAAATAACGACAGGTATTAATATTTGGTTTCTTAGATTGCAATTTTTATCAAATGATCGAAACTAATAAAATTTAATTGACTGCAACACACATCCAATATGCTTTCATTCTACACGAACAAACAGAGAAAAAAAAATGTTGGTTGCTAATAATTCATCTTGATATTTGATTAGGTGTAATGGAATCTCGGCATATTGCCCTTCATTTTATTTCCAACCTTGCTTACCATATACATGTACATAATCAAGGTTCCTTTCCCCTTAGTGTCAGTATATCAAGGTTTTACTGTAGTTAAAGCATCATAAAGTACATATGTACCAAAATAAGTCCTTGGTCGACTCTTACCGTGCAACTGGGACCGTGCGTTAACGCGATCCCCTGAGAGTAAACGTGCATATCAGAATACCCCCAGAGTAGCACGCCCTCTACCAGTGGGTGACTTAAGTACAGAGTAAGAAGATCTTCTAGTTTGTCTGCTTTCTGTGTTTCGTTGTGATCTTCGACAGTCAGCTCTGTAATCCAAAGTGGTAATCCAGTTTCCGCTACCTTATTTAAACGATACTGAAAACACGCAACATATTAAGAATTACGGATCTCTAAGCATTCGCCTTACACATATGTCGTCTAACATTTAATAACATAATCACATATATATCGTATATGTGTGTATAGCATTTTATCCAGAGTGACGTCCCGAGCACCAGAGAACAATGTGATGACGTCAATAAATTACAACACAGGGGTTGATTGTTGTTTCGACTAGACTTTGCTAGTCTAAATCTTTTACGTTAGTGCACATCAATTCGTATTGAAAGTTGGACATTCTTAACCATCCGGATACTTCCTTACCTGAACCGTCGTCATGTCTTGGTGGGAATTGTCAAAGTGACTTTGGATCCCTGCACCATATATCGGCACGCTTGCTTCGTTAAATCGCCTAGCATGTTCTTTATATGCCTGCAAATATTGAGCAGTTTGTCAATAGCAGTATCACAATACATTATTATCAAGTTAAAAATACGAAAAAACGCATAGGCCTTGCATATCAATTAAGGTAAATAATGTATGTGATATAGTTATTTCATTATTGCTTCTTTAAATGACATTATGTGAGTTTATGGGTGTTGAATTGTTCTATTTTACCGATATTTAAATGGAACATATATAATATGACGTACCGTTGTTGAGTATCTGGAACTCACGACATTAAATTCGTTGAGAAATAATTTCACACCAGGTTCCGCCTGGTGCAACCAGTTAAACATATCCTGTGTAATGTTTGGGTTCGTAAGATGTCGTGCAAAGTAGTTACCATGTATATCCTCATTGTTTACGTCCCAGTGTTCCAACCTGTATCGGAAGCAGTAGGACATTTCGTAAGTATATATAGAATGTCTAAATTACATCTAAAACACAAACTTACCAATGACGCTTATATTTACTATCTGCTAATATAACTGATCTGGTGTATTCATGGCTCTTACATTTTTATTTTTGGTTGTTCAACTTACTTCCCTCTAGTGTGTGATATCATATCGTTAAGATGTGTGTGCATCGCCTGCAGAAGTTGTTGTGAATTCATGGTCGATAGCCACTTCGGAACACTTTTGTCCACAGACCAGTACATGTTGTGACCTCTGACCTTAATGCTGTAAATAAATTAAACAAATCACTGCCGTTAGTGAGAGAAGAGAGAAGAACAGAAAGAGACGAGTAAGCAGGGCGGAACGAGCGACTCATCGATGTATTTTTTGTGGAAAGTGGAAATTCTCGTGTATGTAAATGTTCGCGTTGTTTCTCTTTAAAAGACCACGGTGTCGAAATTTTGCGTTGGCAATGATACTAAAATATTTATATCCTATATACATTTGTAGCTATACTTTGCATAATTTCTAAATAAATATTCACATGTTGATAACTAATTGACTCAAATCGAAAACACAAATCGTTTTCATTGTTCCTTTGATAGGTGATGATTTCAATACATATCTTTAGGGTAATAAGCAGATTTCGTCAATGAAGTATAAACAATCACAGATAAGATTTGTAATAAAGTATATAAACAAATAATTGAATAATAATAAATGTATTTTTTTCTTTTCTATACATTCGACTGTAAAAGATAAACTTACCCTTTAGAAATCATTGCATTGATGGCTGCCATGGGTCTATCAAAGTTAGCATGTCCCTGAACAATCAGAGGATTATTTCAAGGAAATAATATAAAATATAGACATCGTAAAGTCGTCCAAAATTAAAAAGCATAACGATTAATTAAAATTTATTGTTACATGTTAAGCTCAAAAATGCAAATAACCACATACACGATTCATTAATAAGCTAAATAGCAAAAAAGTGTCAATAATATCCTAATTGTAATTGATTAAATTAAAGATTTTTTTTCAGGTGAACTTGATTATTTTCTTTCATCAATATTTCCATCCACTGACATTTATAACATTTGTGTATTTAGCACCGAATTATAATCAATGTATTATAATTTAAATTTCGTACTTGCGTCCATTCCATCAATCTCCATTTGAGTGCATTTTCCAAAACGGCCCATTCAAAGTTGTTATAGAAGAAATCCTGATAACCTTTTTGCGCTGGGTCATGAATAGCATCGGCGTTGATAGCGGTACCGAATGCAAACGCACTCTTTGTTTGGTTCAACTGGGGAAGATACTTTTCTATTTGAGAAAACACGTAATACGGCTCTGGATAAAGCATGTCAGAAGTTACATTCACGTACCCAACTGCAGAAAACGAACAAACAAACCAGCAATCTACCTAAATTATCCAGAACAGATTACCACTGAGCATGAAGATACGAAAATATTTCTCATGATACAGTTTCCGTCTGGTCTATATACTGTTGTTAGTAATATGACATATTATACATTTTTTTAAAACAATTTTGCAACATTATAGAACCCAACTCTTCATGTTTAAGTGGTAAATTTAGCATTCAAAAATATATAACAAATTATTTTTCGTAAAATGTCATACAATTGTACACATAAATTTAAACAATTTAAAGCATCATATGATAAAAAAAGATACCAATATTATAATATAGTACTGTAGCGAATGATTATAAGCCCTCTACACGTGCAATGTTTCGTATTTTAGTATTTAACTATAACAAAAAAAAAAAAAAAATACAACAGTTACTTGTTTTTAGTTAACAAATTTGCTTGATTTGTAGTGGAATATATCAGGGGAGTAGTTAGAAATGCTTGGAAAAAATGAATATCATTTCACGGACGCCGCTTCTGTGTGAGCTAAAATATATTTTCAACAACTTCAAATTTATGTTTATCACACTATATTCTACCTCAAGTGATAGTATTACAAGCGTTTGCCCTCTGTAGATAAAGCTAAGTCGTCAAAGATCAGCAATGTATAGTTTGTTTGTCTCACGGTCAATATATAGAAGGTTTATGAAGAACGATGCACGGTCATAAGTTGTTTGGAAATAATAAATGCACGTGCATATGCATGTTTATGCTAAGTTAAAAATGTAAAGACTGTTAGTATCGCCGAAATATTTAATATTTAAGGCACTTGTTAGTCTATTAAACAAGTTTTAATGTTATGTTCATAAGTAAACCAAATTGGAAATATTGAATTATGAAACTGTTTGTATAGGAATGAAATAATTGCACAATAATTGCATAAACGTTTTAAATTATGCTTGTAGAGATTTATCTTGTAGAGAATTAGGCAAAAGCAGAAAATTTGTTTGTTTAAGATTATTATATAAAGGTTTACCTCTATTTGTAGATGTGATGTGTCCGCTCCATGTCCATTGATAATTCTAAATGACAAATTCTAGAATCAATATCATTTTTTTTTTAGTTCGTTGTTTTATAACATATTGTGTCCATATGTATTATCGAATCATTCAGTAACAATATAAATATCCTGGATTGGTTCAAAGAAAGAAGTAAATCGTACAGTTCGTGTTCTATAATGATATAATCACACTGTTGCCTTTGATCTTCTTTGTACATGTAAGTATGGTTTGTAGAAATGCTCATGTAGCACAATCACTTAATACATTTTGATTGACGTGGCGATAACTAGTACGATACGTACTCTGTCACCCTCATTAAATAAATGACCAGTGAAGCGTATGTGCACAAAAGTGTAACATATTTAACAGTAGGTAATATACAATAGACGTTGATCCGGCTAGCTTAGTTTTACCACTTAATTATTATACATGTACGAAATGACGAATCAAACCAATGAATTGATTCAGCAACGAATGATCGTAAAAATGGAGGATTATATGACTCCCCTCATCTCAATTCTAAACATGTCCACATTGCTTCTTTTATCTGCTGCTTGAGCAAATTGCTCTGTCTATACCGGCGCATAACATGATTTTGCTGTGAGGCATAGTCTGCGATTGCCGATTTATTGATCTGGGACATTGACTGCTTCCGTTCTAATCGGGTGAATTTCTTTCGCTCTTGGGTTTCCTTATTTTTTTCCTGTGCTCACTAAGTTGGCTTCCAGTTTTTGCATTGCAATATGCGTCAGAGTTCTTGAATCCGAATTTTCCACGGTTTGGCGAAATAATATCAACGTCGATTCGGCTTCGATACAGTTGTGGCTTTGCACAACATTACACGATATGCGGTGTGGGCACCATGTGTGTACCATGTGCGCACATAGGTTGCGCAGGATGAAAACCAGTACGATTATAGCGTGCGTACGACTGGGCAATATATATCGCACATTTGTGCTGTAAGTATCGATGTTGATATATATTAAAGAATGGCATATGAATATATACGATTTTATATTTGAACTCATATCTTTCCTCATTTATATGTGTTGCAATATTTCAGCCAGATATTCATGGTTATCTATTCATCTAACAGTAAACTTGTATCTAAACTACCTTAATCGTATGTACTGTATATATACATCACTATACATTTTGTAAAAGCGTTTATAATCCTAATTGTTATACCTGTACGAAATGGCGAATCAAACCGACAGGATATATAACGGCATAGGTATGAAGCCCAAAAAGACACTTCTTAATATCCTGGTAAACCATTTGACCAAAACACCCGAAGAAAATGTCGCATAACGCGTGCACAAACTTAGATGCAAGAACTGTGACGCATCGTATCGTATATCCGCGAAACTGGAAGGCGATTTCTGGACCGAGTTATAGATCTTATTCTGACCTTCTATAACGCATTAATGTCTTCTTTTATAAAAACAAAGAGATATTCGATGATTTATATAACCTTATGTCCATATTGGATTTTCTGTTTGCTTCTATCCTGGCATTAGCTTTAGATTTCCACTGCGAGTCGACAGGAAGCTCCGTAAGGCTCATACCATCCACAAGGTAGTTAGTATCTTTGTTTTCTACTTGAAGATATATTCTTATGTTGGTCATTCCTGAATTGAGATAAACGTTTATGCTTTGATTACCAAGAAATGAATAAAACGTAAAGAACGTATTATGTCTGATACATGTACTACCGTATTTACCTGCGTTAGTTGTGTACGTTTATTTTAAGGTTTTAAGCTCATAGCACATTACACAAAAAACGAGTACCTAAGATTTGTGTTAAAGATCATGATATATCTACAATTTCAATATTTACAAATCAAACCTGCGATTTGTATTAGAGATAAGGAAATATGTTACTTTTACAAACATTGTATATGTGGTTAGTTTACAGATATGCAAAATATTTAAAAAAAGAAATGGAAGATGACATGAAAAAAAGAAGACTTCGAAAAACAAAGCTCCTAATCAGACACACGGGGAAACTTTCTTTTGGAATCTTGAGCAACATTAATAGAATTACCTTGATTCGTAATGATAAAATCCCCTCCGATCTCCGTCCATTCGAACTCCTGCTGAACGTGCCTGTCCTCACTGACCGTTTGGTAATGGGTATTACCTTGACGTTCAACAACAAATCAACAGGTTAGCTTTAAGAAAACATACCACGATCGCATGAGCATATCAGAAATCTTGGTTTGGGTTTTAAATCGTAAAATTTGGACATTTTATGATATATGCCTTGATTTTACGTGTTCCCTATTGAACGTGTCGAATATATGTTCTATTTTTTAAATAAAAAATGATAATATACAACAATTATATAACATCTTATCTAATTTGTAAAATTACTCTCGGGGGCTTCACAACACATTTAGATTAGTTTTCCTACAGTGACAGTTATAAAGTAGATACACTGTAAGGAGGCATACATAACAGCATAATATATTAAGTAACACGACATTCACCTCACTATGCCTATACATACATGTATAGGGGCTTGTACATGACGTCTGTGCACTAGCCTAAAATGCAGATGTAAAGAGGTTAGCCACTTAATTCTTCTAAAAATTTAGCCAGAGTTATGCAGATGGTAGGCTATTCCACATTTTCCCCTTTCTAACGATATTTGTGATCTTTTATTGTTCAATCACAGTTGAAAAAAAAACACTAGAACGAGCAATTGCTTCTGTTTCTCGCATGAAATATAACAAATACAGCTTTGTATGATTATTAACGTATCGGTAATTAATATTACCTGAACGTTAGTCTTTAAGGAAACAAAATGGTTCTGTATCCCAATGCCTTACCATGTAAGTCGGTGCCCTTTATCATCACGTGAACTGTTTGATACATAGATCCTGCGACTTTATTCTGCAGCTTTATGAAGCCTTTGATCACGTATGTTTTGCCCGTTGACACGCTGACGTCATAGTAAAGTCCTGCCCAGGTATGTTGACTAAACACAAGGCAATATTTCAAAAAATAAAATACTGCAGAAATATGAAAGTAAACGTTCATACTAAATCAGATATAGTTGTAGTGTATGATATCTGTTAGGCATACATGACTTCAGAAATATAATCTATCTGACTCAGTGCATGTTAAATTGTGACGTCAACTATTGCTATTTTTGTTTTGTTTTGTTTCTTTTTGTCTTGTTTACTTTGCGATTTGTAATTTTCGCGGATTTGCTTGTTCTATTGCGCAGGATCTATTTAAAAAGGTTCCATGTGTCGTAGCTTTTTCACATTGGTTTACGGGGTTAAGATTGATTTAGTGCATACTGAATGATATTAACTGCAAAAATCACGAATACTATAATCCTGCTATCGAGACTAAATCCTATGCTATATAATATCTATTAAATACCCTGCAAAAAATAGAAGGTCCTTTCAAAAAAGGATAGTAAGTTTCAATAGTGGATGCATTGATACACATTCATTTCAATTCGAGTAGTATACTTATTGCAATCACTATTCTAAAGCTATTACTAAGTGATTGTCAATGAGTTATTAGACATAACCTATCCATACGCACATATTGATCAATATAAGTTATGCTAGATATCAAAATTTCCCAAACAATGCATTCAAACTGATCAACGATGAAAAAATCATTTTAAAATTATTTCATCTTTATCAATTAACTAGAGAAACCAATTTGATAATTAAATAAACAACTGTAACATACCGATGTGTTACCATTCCACTGTGGTGTCCAACCACGTGGTCAGTCGTTAGGGACAGCTGGCACGAGTTACACTGCCAGTTTCCATGAAACTGATGACTCTCAAAATCGCCATTTTGGAACAATTCAGAAATAGTTTGTCCTAAACAAAGGAACAGTATCAAGCAAACACGTTTCATTTCGTCGATGACTAGACATGCATTGCACTATATCGAAACCAACTTTTGAGATTAGTCCTAAACACAGCGTGTGCTTGTACTCAACAAGACCGACACTTATCTGGCGAAGGAATGAGTTCATACAGCTTATCAGTCAAACACAGAGAAGGGCAAGGTTGATAACTGGGTCTGACGTTAGGAAGTTATATATATAGGATCTTACATGAGTTTCCATTTCATATGAGATTGATGAAACGAGTCTAAGAATTTTTCAATTTAGCGAGCTTCTTGCGAGCTAAAATGAAAAAAATGTGACGAGTTTCATCAATTTCATGTGAGAGTAAAACGAGTGTAAGATCCTTTTTATCACATAACCAAGATTTGTGGTATTTACTCGTGTAAAACGACAATTTTCATACAACCTTGAAATGTAAAAAGACGCCATTTTGACTCCAGTGCGTAAGCATGTGACGTCATGTACTTGTCTCGGCGTGACGTCACAATTTAAATAATTGAAGCTTACAACCAATCACAGGGCTGAGAGGTCATATTACACGGGTTAAATACGCAAAAAAATAGGAAATGGGTATATTCACTAGATAATATAGTACATTATGTGATAGATAATTATATAGATAGAAGATCACAACATGAAGTGACCGCTAATATGCAAATCTTACTTTAAACGTATTCAAAGAAAAATAAATCTTACTATGTCTCCCCGTAAACAAATGTTTGGAAACATTTCCTGCGGGATTTTGTTTTAAGTTGTTAATATAATGGGGTGCTTTATGTTGATAAAAGATCTTTCCATTCGTTGGCATTAATGCAGGCATATGTACGTGTCCAATATTTGCATGTCCATGGACCGGGAAGATTTTTGTCAAAATGAGAGTGGTGCTTGTACATGTACGTATTTGAATTAAAACACATGAGTAGTAAGAGTAGTATTACTAGCTTGAAAGTCAAAAAGGTTTGGTGTCAAATCTTAAGTTTAACACTAACGGCACTGTCCAACGATAAAGGAGTCAGAAGTTTCGGGATGTTGCGAGTTGATCCATTAAAATGCCAACAGGCGCCATGTTTTGTCTGCTCTATGAAGACGGTCTTTGTTCATCATCCGTGACATCCTGAGAGCCATGCTGGTTCAACATCTGACAATCAAACCTCTGAAACGTCGTATAAAGTAACGTCATCTTGGATACAGGTTTCATTCGTGTTTTCTCAAAAAATTGTTTCCCGTAGTCCTATGGTAGCTTAACCATATGCAATTGTTAAAAAGCAAGGTATTTGTGCATGGGACGGTATATACCGCTTCCACTTTGACATGACGTCATCGGGCTAGTCGCATTAATAAAGCTAGGGAACACCTTCGATGGCTGTTAAGACACAATGAAACCACATTCTTTTGTCAGTTAAATCTCAATTCTGTATGTCCCATTATCATAGAAGGCAGATAGTGTTTTAACGTCGAGTCGAACGTTTTGTAGACTGTTGCATCAAGAAACCTGGTTGATTAGGGGGCGTCATTGTTTTTGTTTATAATTTGATTATACAACTCAACGCGTTTACGTGTAACACATACAAAACTGAAATGGTTGTGCTATATGTAGATTTCTACAATTCTTATTCTCGAAAATGCCATGTTGGTTAAATTCAGGAAAAGTTTGTCCTACACAAAGATACTGGATATAGCAAACACGTTTTATTTCGTCGAAGACGAAAAATAAATCGCACTATATCGAACCCACTTTTTAGAATGTTTTTATTGCACAGTACACGCAGTTGTACCAAAACAGTAGGTCCGCTATCCGTCATAGGGACGTAGCATGCAACTACCAGTCGAACGAATAGAAGGTCAAGTTGAGGAATTGTCTCTGGAATACATTACTTGGTACCATTAGTTATATATTGAGGCTAGAGCTAAACATGAAGTTAATCAAAATAATAAATGTCCTTTTATACCCAACAACAAAAAGATAACGATAAAAAGTCTCAACGCAGAAGACTTGTAAACACATTTGTGTAGAATGACGCTTTGAGTTGGTTAACAAAATCGAGGCAAACATGAGATCATTGGCAATATCATTGATTAGGAACTGTGTTTCCACACTGAACTCATTTGCGTGAAGGTAAACGAAAAAGTGAAACCCATAAGTAGTTAGTCACATAAATAACGTATCTATCAAATGCTAAGTGGCTCACTGTATTGGTTGAATTGAGATGACGATTGATCGTAGGTATCTTTATCACACAGGTCCTACGGGACTGTTCTTTTAGACCACCGTTAAGGAAATGTGTATTTTTTACGATCTTTTGGTTTGGCGATGGCCTTATATGGGTTCGGTTTTGTAGTAAGAATACCTGGGAAACAGTGTCAGATATTGCCAGCAATACATGTACACCGACGACGATGACGCTGAGTATAACGACGTTTGACGACGGACACAAAAAATTCTTTGTAGCGCTTTGTTTGTGGCGACACGAAAGGGCACATAATAGGCGTTTGTACTAATTAAGTAACAGCTTAAACAACTTGTTTCTATTTTTTCCTTTCTCGAAAAACAAAAAATAAAAACCAGCATAAATCATTTAATAACCCACATATTTATTTTGCAAAAAAAACTTATTACAGTTTATACAAAAGAAGGGATACTGTCTGACTGTCGATACTTCTAGTGTATGTTTGTGGAGGTATGAACCGAATGACCTAAAGACAAAAAGTTAAAACATATTTATGTTAAAAAATCATAAATAATCCAGATCAAATTCAACCATAAATTTTAAATTATGCAATTTTGGATTGGTAGACTTTACTATTTTTGTCAGCTATTGAATTAAAACACAATTCAAATGCAGTAGTTTTACTAGTTTGTAAAGTTATGCGAAAAACTGTGATATAAAAATATCTGTCAATATATGAAAATACATCTTTGTTTGTCTTTTACTTATCTTTCAACAAGATTGTTTAAGCCATGTCAGGAAGCGTTCAGTTATGAAATAAATCCATTTCCACCAGCTATGATATGTTATTAAAGTCAACACAACTCTCACCTGATCCACTGACAGTGACGGTCAATGTTTTGGCAGTATCACCCACGGTGAAGGTTTTTGTTTCCAACACATGGCCATTCTGCTTTATTGTCATCTGATAGTTTCCTTTAAATGCCCGTATGTTGTGGTTAGCTAAAGACTGTGACACGTTCGTCCGCCATGTCTGTCTCAACAGCTGACTGACCTTTTCACCCGCAGCGTTTGGCTGTAAAAAACACAAGGAGAAACTAATTAAAACAGTTCTTCCTTCAAAAGCATAATTAGAAAGATTGGAATTATTACAACACTCATATCACAGTAAGCGAAACCAGAAATATCTATTTCGTTCACAACACAGTGAAAACTGATTGGAATTATTTGTTTTGCTTAAGAATACAATCAATAAGACTGAAATTCGTTCTTTGCTTTATTACACTGACAAATGACTCATGTTCATAAGTAGGGAAAAATATAATAGTTTTACAAATGTAGCAGTCGGCCTTGAAACGTTGCGATACGTTTAATACGTACATTGTTTGTAAATAAAGTAAAACTTTGATATTGCGCATTTCCAAACTGATTCATCTTCAAAAAAAACCACCGAAATTAATTTGAAAAAAAAAAATGTTTTGTTCAAAAACACCACCGAAGAAGATTGAAATGACTTTTTTGTTAAAAAAAAATCCCTTCAGATAATCATAATAATGTCTTTCTGTTAATAAACACTTTTGGAGAAATTAAAAAATTGTACTTAATTCAACAATCTCACAATGCTCATAATCTATGGCGAATTTATTTATTTCTTTTTTGTCTTTTGTTTAATTGCCAGTTTAAAACTCTATATTGTAATAATTGTTATATTTTCAATTATCACTTTGATGCTTTTTTAGAGAAATGCATTTCACTACGAGCTTAGAGATATATTTCAAACATTGTTAAAGTAAACATTTTTTTGTCAAAAAAAATTTGATGAAATATTAAAATTTATAGTAAAACTTTACTAAATGTAATAACAATTGAAATTAAAGTGTAAAGATAACAAAACAAATATCACTTACATGGCACTGCGGACCGATAGCAAGAGCGCATTGTTTGCATTGCATGGCCTCCTGACAAAAGCCCCATAAAATGATACCCTCAACGGCGGGATGACTAAAGTACAGAGTAAGCAGGTCCTCAAACGTCTGAGCCTTAGTATCAGCATTAGAATCACCAACAGACAGTTCAGTTATCCATATTGGGAGATTAGCCTCTGCTGATTTATCCAGACGATACTAGGGTGGACATAATTTAAACACAGCAGTGTTGAAAATATATGTACTTGTTTATATATATTATTATATTTCATTTTCATAATACTTAATCTGGCATTTTTACATTTACTATCGCCTTCTTGTGTAATGCCTATATAGAGTATGCTGTGTATTTATATTCGTGTAATTGGATTCGCCTTCATTACGGAGAGAGAAAAAGGAAACTGAATTAAGGCAAACATATCCCAGTATTGATAGTGTCAGTGTCATAACAAAACTGAAAAATACTATTCAAAAGTATAACAATAGTGGCACTGATACTGGCAAGGTATGTCTGATTGTTACGATGAGATAAAAGTTCGATTTTTTCGATCCAGGAAAAAAAAATACACAGAAAATCTGATCTTTATCCAAACCATCTGATTAAGAAATCACCAATGATATTAATAGACAGGTCAATAATGATTTGAAAAATAAAACATTATTAAACTAGTATTCATAGACAAAAGATAAGAGTAAAACGTTCAAAATTACAGGCAGTCGATAGTAGTATGAAGAAACTTATCATAAAATATATAAACTTTATTGTTTTTACAATAATTATGAAAGAAGTCATTTCAACATATGTAAATCACTCTTTTTGGCACGGATGGTAGCGCGCAAGATGTCTGGTTGCAGGAGGAAACCGGAGTACCAAGAGAAAACCCACGTGGTCGGGCAGTGACCCATACCTTTTCACGTCCGATCTTGTAATAGAACCTCGGCTGCCACTGCGCCACCCGACAACCAAACACGTGGTACATATTTTAATTAATTTGAGCTGTTTTAGAGAAATTGATCAGCGATATATCAATATAGCTTTCTTACCTTAACGGTAGTCATATCGTCATGTCCGTAATTAAAATGGCTTTGTTCCCCAATGCCATAAATTGGAATTCCAGCATCACGGAAAATTCGGCCTTGTTCCTTCAATGACTTTTGTTGCCGTTTGAATATACAAAAAAAAACACCAATATTATTTCAACAATTATCATCATCAAATATTGGTTAGAATAAACACTCGGATAATTCATGAAACAAAAAGCAAATCATATATATTGTCAGAAATGTATTTGCAATTGCTCTTCGTAAAGTAATAACTGAAAACACGAATTAAGGAAAGCACCTTTACTTTAAAAAAAGACACAATTTTTAAAGTAAAGTGTGGTCAATGATCAAGCATAAAAAGTATTCATTTTTGCTTTATGGACTGTTATATCGAGATGGACACAGTGCTATTAAGCTATGCCTGTGATCAAGACCAGCAGCTTTATAGTGATCATATGACCCCTGATCAATTTCTAGACTGATAACTTTTTGATCTTAAAGGGAATATAGCGATAATCAATATTACTCTACCAAATCTGAAACATGAATTTCCGAATAAGGACGCCTATGGAAACTCATTGGAAAGGGGGAATATCCAAATCGCGATTTTCCATGATAATGATAATGGAAGCTTTGGTATGAAGACTATAGATGTATTGCAGACACAGTGATATCAAGTGATCAAACCCTAATGGTTTATTGTTGTAGATTGATGTGTGATTGGCATATTGTAAATCTTTACTGAGATATAATACAAATTATTATTGAACAACATATTTTATCCCACAAAAATAACGGAGACAGTATATGTGCCCAAGAACGTTGGGCATTTCATATATCGTTTTTGGTAAACGTAATGATTTCCTGCCTAACCTGTAGTTGTATTTAGACTGTCCCTATACTCATATATCTTATTACTGATAACGTTGTTATAAAATCGTCATTGACACTTTTATTTGTGGTTTGAAGATATTATGCTAGAGACATAAGAAACATTGGATGACACTAAACACATGTGTTACTCACATCCGTAGACTAGTTGACGTATCTTTGCAGTCATACTACAGCCTGTTTTGATGTGGTATTTACGGTATTTTTTTAGGTAAAGCGGTACATTAGGACTATTGACAGTGAGAGGTGACTCATTATAAGCTTCAAAATGATATATGCTAATTGTATGAAACGCAAATTTACAACATACTTGATAAATAGGCGAAACATACTCAAATCATTGTGTTTTCAAAAATATGTGGGTATGTCCGAGGATATAAGAGTTATGCAAGGATGTTTGTGGAATCCCTGCAGTTCTAGATAAAGAAACCAGTCGTTTTCCAAACAATCCTTTTCTGCTAAGGCTATGCATCATTATATGAAAGAAAGGAATTCGTCAGTTTATCTAAACAAAACGCCTCGAGGTGCAACATGTGTCCTGATTTTTTCCGTAGACTGAATTACTAGAGGTTAAATCATTCTCCAGATTGAGTTTTATAACGGTACAAATTTATATGTAATTTGTAGTCGTATTACAGCGTGCGTGACATAATGTGTTACTTACAGTCGTATAGCGGCCTGAACTGAGGGCGTTGTAGTCATTAAGGAAAAGCTTGACCCCGGGTTCAGCACTATGGAGCCACTGGAACATCTCCATTGTAACATTTGGGTGGCCAGTTTTCTTCTCAAAATAGTCGCCATGGAGATTCTCATTGTTGACATCCCAATGGGCTAATCTGAATCACAAACATAAATAATCTTATATTTGTGTTTGTGTTTTATATATAAAATGGTGAGACGTTTGGCAAACCTATTGAATATTCGAAAACCATAAAAGCAAATCTGTATTTTAAGCAGATTTCAAACTGATGTAAGTAATCAGCTGTATGTATTGAGTAACGGATTTAATGTATTTCTTGTTCTTTAAGAAACCATAAGTATGCCTTTATTACTGTTGGCAGAAATATCACTTTTTGAGATAAATAAGCAGTTATTTGAACAGTCAATACACAGTGTTGGAATACAAAGGAAAGATATTTTGAGTGAATGTTTACATAATAAACTGCTGTTCAATTTGTTTTAATCTTTTCACTTTATATAAACAATTTTACTAAACAAAAACAACTCACTTTCCTCTGGTGTGTGATATCATGTCGTTGAGGTGGGTGTGCATGGCCTGTAACACTTGCTGGTCAGACAGGTGATCGAGCCAGGCCGGGTAGTGTCCATTTACACCCCAATACATGTTGTGTCCTCGTACAGTCATTCTGATAAAACATCATTGCCGTCAGTGAAATAATTAATATGTTAACTCGCATATTTTTTAAACGTCAATGCTAAAAAATATCAGAGGCCTAGGTATTATCAAAACATGTTTTACAGTGTGTATCCGATGCATGTTAATTTTGTTTTACTGTAGGTCCTGTAAACAAATATGTCGTTATGAGACATCTCTGTTCACGATATGAAACCACTCAGGGATTTTTCAAACTAGTGACACCAAACAAGCAAAAAACACATACTGGCACCATAACATAAGCATTCCCACTCGTTTATACTATACTGACAACGGACCAACCAGTTCTTACAGACATCAATTTAAAACTGGACGTCAAGCTTAGGGCAGTAGGTTGGTTTGTCTCGATCAGGATACAAAATATATAACCTTTCTTGGTTTAGCGAACGCTCAACATTAATTGTTGTAGCCGTAGGGTGTTAGTTAGCGACGATAAGTTGAACATTAGAGACAAAAATAAAGAATCAGCAGAGTTGAGACGGGTGCATCAGTCTCAATTTGCTCTCTTTCGTGCCCAGAAGCAGAGGACGCAGAAGAAATTTCTTAACCTTTCACCACTGTAGACCATAATGGACTCTTCCAGATCAATGCATGGTAAAGTTTACTAACGTTACATAGGGTTGAAAGGGTAACTGCTGCCTGTTAAACACTCCATAAAATGATTCGTTGCACCGGTAGTTTCTCCACGGTTTTATTCTGAAAATATTTCTGTTTTCCTGGAGAATAAACAGAATTGTAGTCATTTTGTTTCGATGGAAGAGGCACAACTCTTTCATGTCATATCATCTCATATTTGAGATACAAATAAGCATACAAAATGGGGTAATGGCTATTTCATTCTATTGACATAACCTACGGAATTGAAGATGAAAAGTGTGGTTTACAGCCATCTAATTTTTCTTTAGCCAAATATTTACAAAAGAATATATTCTATAACTTTGTAAATCTTAATATACCTTAATAAACCTTGCTATTTGTTTCAAAATATGTATGTAAGTATATACGATGTTCTTGTGCATGCTTGTATGTAGACTCACCCTTTTGCAAGCAATTCATTCAAAGCACTCATACCGTGGTCAAAATTTGCATGGCCCTGTAACAATACATTAAAATTGAAATTTACATTTTAATAACAAATAATATTTTCTTAATGTTGACTTCATGTGCCATTCACAAAATTGTCATTATTATAGTATCATTTTTAATTGAACATTGATGTTTTGAGCATTCAAGAGAACCCTAAAAGTAGTGTTTGACGCGGTATGCTACATATTATTCAATTCTTTAGTGAATGTTAGAATTTCAGTGTTTCATTTTGAATGAAACCAAACAAATCATGTAAATCAAAAGTTCATTTTCAAATGTTTTTAATTTGAAAGAGTCACTAGCACATTTCTGTAATACACGATTTCGAATCTGCGATTGCCAAACAAAAGTGATTAATCATTGTGTGTAGATTTTATTTTTATCATATCTTGCAGTTGCAGCAACATTTCCGTTGTAAATGTCTGTTTGAGTGAGAAGTAAACATGTACAGCACTACGCTGTCGGCCGACACCCAAATGTCAGTAATGAGTCTGAGTTCACACATGACGCATTTCAACGCAGTTGGATTTAAATAAAACTGAACAGGCTCATGAAAGCATGCATGCATTGAGAGGGTGCTGCAGGGAGAATTGTAAACCGCAGAAAGTACGATATCAATAGGTTTAACAGTAAAATAGATAACTCATTTATAACGACTTGTTTGGAAGATGCTTTTGATTCAGAATAAATGTTTGTATTTGTATTCCAAATAGGCTAAGCGAGTAAAGCGAGAATTCCATTCTCTCCTCGGCTGGAAGGACATTTTTGTTAGCTAAACATTTACCGACGGCTGCCGCTAAAATGTACGGTTGCACAGTTAAGGATTTCTTCATTACTGGTAACAAAAACCGCCATGAAAACATTGTCTCTTGTCAATTTCTAGACATGAATTGTTCATAAGGAGCATCAAACTTCATATTATCATGAAGAATTTTGTTACAGGATTATCAAGAAAATACTTCACTAAATTGGCCTTTTCATTTAATAGTAAAGAATAAGAATATACCTGTGTGTATTCCATCAGTCGCCACTTAAAGGCGTTGGCAACTGTAGCCCACTCAAAATTATCATACAAGTACTTCTGGTAGCCAGTCGCTGAATGGTCAATAACAAGATCGAACCGGACGGCGGCCCCAAATGCGAAAGCACTGGTTTGTTGATGAAGCTGCAAAAACATGTACAATTATAGCGACGTCCTTGTTTCATTTCTTTGTTATAAGATCCTCTTTAAAAGATTTGTGTCCAAAATGATACTCTCAAATTGAAGGCATAGATATATTTGCAGTAGATTTTTTCTATAAATAGTACCGATGTACACATGCGATATTGTTAGGTTCCATATTTTGTGGAATGTTTACTGGACGCATAATTATCAAAATGTACAGCTAATGCCTAATTACAAGCGCCTTTCAAGCTAGTCGTCAATTATATTTACTATTTATGTATTAGCTGTTTGAGCTGTCCTTTCATTTTGAATTCGTTTAAACAGCTTTGTCACATAGAGTTGATACGACTCATTACCTTATAAGGATCGTCGTTTTTAATGCAATATATATTGAATATCGTCTTCAATGAACAGGTGCATAGTCTATATATTCTTTTCTTGTCTATCCTTCCCTATACTACACGTATTACTACAACTTCGGAACGTCTTGTCTTAGTTCTTTTTTTTTTAATTATAATATACAAATATTTTCTTACTTTATCAGTCGGGTACAATAATAACGTTACTCAAACGGAATTGGATTAGACAGCAAAAGATAACTGGTATTATGTTTTATAAAACAAATGACCGTGAGGATATTCACTTTTTATTCAACATAACTACATAATCTGTCGCGAATTTTTAATCCGGCAGGACAGAAGGGTTACCATGAGGAATGCGTGTTGTTATTAAAATGTGGTGATTTGGCCTGGAGACGAAAGGTGAATTTAGCGATTGAAATTGAAAGTGCAGCCTGAAAATGTTGCGTTTGTGAAGAATCCGGGAGTTAACGTTTTTGTGGAATAAAGATTTATTTGCGTTTATGTGTTGTTTGTATGTGTGTCATGTGTCGGAATAGCTACCTCAGCTAATGATATCGGCAGACATTGTTTATGTGACGTCAATGATATACTTAGTCGGTCAAAACGACGTCATTTAGTCACGATGTCACGAACATGTTCTCCATATTACTACACCAATGGTGATTATGTGAGAATTATGATCAGATATCTATCTATTTTGTTTGGTAAGGTTACATAGTGGCAATGCAGAGAAAATGGAAATCTAGATATATATATTGATATTGTTGTATAAGAAAAGAAACCATATATAATATTTATTATTTCATTACACTTTCACCTTTCCTTTTGCTATTTGCTCGATCATTTTGTTACGTTTCCATGTATGAATTGCCGATGTTCTGGTAAAATATTGATCCTATATAAATTCCCAGGCTAAATTATTAATTTATACATGTCTTGTTATACTATTGACTGTAGCAAAAACCAGCAGTTTATCACAAATGTTTTTAACGTTTAAAGGTAAGATTTGTTTCTTATTTATAATGACTCCCATATGCAATAAAAAGTATTTAGCAATGTAGTCATATGATACATACCTCGAAAGTGACACCGTTCAGGTGCACGTTCTGGTGATTGACTACTCTGTCACGCAAAAGAGGAAAACAATTTAGAATAAGAAATAATGTAAAGCACAGATACAGGCGCTAAAACGAGTCATGTTGTGCTTTTTAAAACAAACGATATCGTCAACGAGTGACACTTTCTGTTGTTATTTATTCCGTTTTTCTTTCTTCGTACACAGACAAAATTTATAACAAATACACAAACATATCTAATTGTGTTAAGTTAGGAATGTATAATTTAAGAAATTGTAATTCTGGGATTATGTTTTCAGAATAGATAAATAGAAATAAACTTTATTTATTTTACAACAATTACGAAACAAGTTATTTCAACTTATATCAATCACTCTTGTTGGCCCGGATGTTAGCGCGTGGGGGATCTTAGTGTGGGAGGAAAGCGGAGTACCCAGAGAAAACCCACGTGGTCGGGCAGGTGACCCGAACCTTTTCACATCCGATCGGGGAATCGAACCCCGGCCGCCTTGATGAAAGGCACGTGTGCTATCCACTGCACCACCAGACCACCCAGATTGGTATTTAATAATAGTCTTTCCATTATTATTGCATGTCTTTGTTTGTCATCTTCAAAGTTTTAAAACAAAACTTCTGTTCAACATCATTGTTATTATAGCAACAAAAGAATACATATTGGAGCATTTTTTTTTTGTATATAGAAGCATTATAAGCATTTTATGACTAAACCAAGTAAAAGTCAACATTTTTGTCAGTTTATGTCAAAAAGTCGCTATGCTTAAATAAAAAATGTTTTTGCGGAAGGTTATTGCAATCATTCAAAGTATTTACTACACTTATTAATTAGCGCAAGAGAACAATAAGCTAATAAAGTGTATAGAGTAAATTACAAATGAAACTCTTAATACAACGAAGATGAACCTAGACAAACACATGTGATTGTTCCTAAACAATTTGGTAATTGATACTGTATGTCAACAATGTACATTTATAACAATGCATCATAATACAGTTTCGTCCATATGGGACTTATTGGTAATACTAGGGGCAGAAACGGTGAAACAAAACAAGACCTAGACTCCTGTTCAAACAGAAGGGGAGGTGCATACAACCCTTTTTATTAGACCAATTTCAAAATTAAGTCGAGTATTTGTTAATTGCAAATAAATAATCAATAAATTATGTTTATTATGAATCCTGTCACAACTAAAAATATTAATTGTAGCCATCAAGATTAAAGCAAATCTAGGAGACTTTTCATTTTCAAATGACATTTCATTTGAGACAGTCTCTTGAAAAACAAACTTATCTTACTTAAGGTGAACATCTGCTTTACGTAAGTGCTCGATCCTTGTCTGAGCCTCGGATTTCCAGTTGTTATTTGGGATCAGTTCCTTAAAACTTGCCCCGTCGACGAGATAGTTCACACCAGGCTCAGTAATTTGTAAATAGATGGTTGTTTTGTCCATATCTAAAGAAAACATATAAATATTGTAAATGCAAAATGATGCGAACACTTGGGCATTGCCAAATGCATTTGATATACTCCCAATTTTAATACGATACAGATATTCTTATTATTTTTTTATATTTCAAACCTCAACTTACAATATCCTTTAAGAACTATTGTACTTCAATAGGAAGCTATGCAATACAAACGTTTTATATGTTGCAAAATTATTGGGGATTGTTGGCAGTACAATTTCAAATCAAGTTCCATACAACAATTTCAGGTTTTTAACTTAATTCTTAACCCACCGTGTCCATTTTGTCCATGTTTATGGAACAAATCAGACTGTTTGTTCATAAATCAGGTTATGCTCAAACATATTATTTTACCTGCAGGTATTATCTGGTCAAATCCAATCTCGACCCATTGTGTTGTTTGTTGTACATAAGGACTTTCTCCACAGGTAACGAACTTGCTGTGGCCATCTGTAATGTCGTAAAGTTGTATAGACATTAGGTATGGCATCATATTAATTGAAGATAAATATAGTATACTGGTGGTATTGTTTGTGCATGCACATCTGCATTTTTGAAACGAGACATTTTCTTTTTGAGTTTATCATGTTTAGAAATAAACCACCAATACATGTCTTGTCAAAATTTAAGTATGGGTACGAAAACAAGTATCTGCCAGGGTTTGTTTGTTTGTGTTTTACGGCCTTTTAACAGTTATGGTCATGTAGGGACGTACCAGGTCGGCTGAATTACAGTAGAAAATGGAATATTGAACACTTTAATGTAAATAATAAATTGTGATTATATAAAAAGTTATTATACACAGCCATGCCCCTTAACGAAATTTCGTGGAAAAAAATATTTTGAAGTACTTTCCATACATGCACATCAGAGGAAAAGCTGTTTCCTATGACTAAATATATCTCTCTAACTTATCCAAGACCTTGTTCCTAATGTAAGCGTCTACTTACTGCTAGATGACATGACCTGCATCATTAGCTCCACATTATGGTAGGGTTGAGTGTGGCTCAGTAGTTTGATGAACGCTTTAAAAGCGTAACGATGACCGGCCTTGACGTTTACCGTCTGAGAAAGACCAGCCCAATTATGAGATCTGTGAAACATGAAACCAATACAACGGTGTGTGGAATAAATTCCATGATTCAGCTGTTCCATTATTCCTTATTCATAACTATTCATAACTCTATTTGAATGTACATCGAGATAACGAAAATATCAATCTCTACTACAGCCCCATTGCTTGCTTCATCAGATAGCTATATTCATTATTCGAATCACAAAAAAAGGATTGACACTAGGAAAATACAAAAACACAGATTGGCAACTGATACTTTTTCCACCGTTAGTGTCAACGCTTTTATGTATTTTGTAATAGAAAAGTAGAAATAGGTATTCTAACAAAATACTGTATACGGTATATGTATGAGATGATGATGATGGTGATGATGATGATAATGATGATGATGATGATGATGATGATGATGATGATGATGATGATGATGATGATGATGAGGTAATGACATCACAATGTATGTGAGTGAGTGGACGTTTTTGTTGTTGTTGTTATATGTATCAATAAAACCTGTGGAAAAATTAAAAAAAAAAAATTAAAAATTTTATTGTATACGTGAAAATTTTCGCCCAGTCAAAATTTCGCCCTTCGCCAGTAAAACCCATATTCGCCCAGTTTTAAAATCGCCCCTTACATTAAATTATGTATAAAAATTAGTTTACTTATTTACGCTGTATTTATGATAAATCCGTTTTCAATACAAAGAGCGAAAACGGCAAAAATTTGAATGCATCAAAACATTCACGGTATACATTCTCTGGTTTACCTAGAGTGATAATACACTGTGGAATTCAAGCTCTGGATGTAATGCTATACATACCTGTGTGTTACCATTGCGCTTCCGTGACCATGGTAGCTATCGGAACTCTGAGACAGATGACAGCCATGACAGAACCAGCTGTTTGCACCAAAGCTATTTTCAAAATCTGGATTATTGAGAAGCTCTGATGCTGCATCAGTTCTACCTAATAACGATACGGCTAGAAGGAACACCAACATGATGGCACCGCTGGTACAATGGATAGTGACAAGGTTGTACATATTTAGCGGCGGAATTATACAGCAATTCCTTATCTACTGACACCTGATCGACCTGTCCAAGATAAGTCGTCACCATTATGTAAACTATGGAGAAATGAAGTACAAGTATAGAACATTGATTATACTGACTTCATTATCATCATGACTGACCTTAGTTTCAAAGCCAGAAATACAATCCGTAGCTGGTTTTAAAGAGAAATGAAATATTCGTCATTAACGCAAACTAGTTACAATCCTTTACAAACGATCTCACATGCTTCAAAAACGATCTCACATGCTTAATCAACGATCTCACATGCTTCGTCAACGATCTGACAGGCTTCATCAAAAATCTAACATGCTTCATCAACGATATCACCTGATTCATCAACGATCTCACTAACTTCATCAACGATCTCACTTGCTTCATCAACAATCTCATATGCTTCATCAACCATATCAACTGCTTCATCAACAATCTCACCTGCTTCATCAAAAATCTCACTTGCTTCATGAAAAATTATCACTTGCTTCAACAACGATTTCACCTGCTCCATAAACGATCTCACATGATTCATCAACGATCTGAAATGCTTCATAAACGATATCACATAATTCATCAACGATCGGACATGCTTCATCAACGATCTCAATTGCTTCATCAACGATCTCACTTGATTCATAAAAAATATCACCTACTTCATCAACGATCTCACTTGCTTCATAAAAAATTTCACGTGCTTCATCTTCAATCTCACTTGCCTCATCAACAATAAAACTTGCTTCATTAACAATCTCACTTACTTCCTACAAAATATCACTTGCTTCAACAGCGATCTCACCTGCTTCATCAACCATCTCACCTGCTTCATTAACGATCTCAAATGTTTCATCAACGATCTCACTTGCTTCATAAACGATCTTACATGCTTCATAAAAAATATCACCTGCTTCATCAACAATCTCACCTTCTTCATCAACAATATCACTTGCCTCATCAACAATAGCACTTGCTTCAACAACGATCTCACCTGCTTCATAAACGATATCACACGCTTCATCAACGAACTTAAATGCTTCATCAACAATATCACACGCTTCATCAATGATCTCACATGCTTCATCAACAATATCACATGCTTCATCAATAATATCACTTGCCTCATCAACAATATCACTAGTTTATCAACAATCTCACTTGCTTCATCAACGATCTCACTTGCTACATAAACAATTTTACTTGCTTCAACAACAATCTCAACTTCTTCATCAACAATCTCACCTGCTTCATCAACAATCTCACTTGCTCCTGAACAAATATTTCATGCTTCAACAACGATCTCACCTGCTTCATAAACGATCTCACATGCTTCATCAACAATCTCATCTGCTTCATCAACAATCTCACTTGCTTCTAAACAGATATCACCTGCTTTCTCAATAATCTCACCTGCTTCAACAAAGATCTCACATACTTTCTCAACAATCTCCCATGTTTTATCAAAGATTTCACATGGTTCATCAACGCTATCACTTCTTTCATCAACGATCGCACTTGCTTCATAAAAAATATCACATGCTTCATCAACAGTCTTACCTGCTTCATCTTCAATCTCACTTGCCTCATCAACAATCTCACTTGCTTCATCAACAGTCTAACTTACTTCATAAAAAATATCACTTGCTTCAACAGCTCTCACCTGCTCATCAACAATATCACTTGCTTCAACAACGATCTCATATTCTTCATCAATGATCTCACATGCTTCATCAACGATCTCACATGCTTCATCAACGATTTCACTAGCTTCATCAGCGATCGCACATGCTTCATAAACAAATATCACATGCTTCATCAACAATCTCACCTGCTTCATAAATGATCTCACATGCTTCATCAACGATCTCAAATGCTTCATCTACGATCTCACACGCTTCATCTACGATCTTACCTGCTTCATCTTCAATCTCACTTTCCTCATCAACAATAAGACTTGCTTCATCAACAATCTCACTTACTTCATACAGCATATCACTTGCTTCAACAGTGATCTCACCTGCTTTATCAACAATCTCACCTGCTTCATCAACGATCTCAAAAGTTTCATCAAAGATCTCACTTGCTTCATTTTTAATCTGTCGTGCTTCATATACGATCTCACATGCTTTATCAACGATCTCACTTGCTTCATCAACGATCTCACTTTGCTCAATAAAAAATATCACTTGCTTCAACTCATAAACGATCTTACATGCTTCATAAAAAATATCACCTGCTTCATCAACAATCTCACCTGCTTCATCAACAATCTCGGGGGCTTCATGAAAAATATCACTTGCTTCAACAGCAATCTCACCTGCTTCATCAACAATCTCACTTGCTCAATAAAAAATATCACTTGCTTCAACAACAATCTGACCTGCTTCATAAACGATCTCACATGATTCATCAACGATCTCACATGCTTCATAAACGATCTCATATGATTCATCAACGATCTCACTTGCTTCATAAAAAATATTACTTGCTTTATCAGCGATCTAACCGGCTTCAACAACGATCTCACATAATTCCTCAGCAATCTCACATGTTTTATCAACGATCTCACTTGCTTCAACAGCAATCTCGCCTGCTTCATCAACAATCTCACCTGCTTCATCAACAATCTGACTAGCTCCTTAACAGATATCACCTGCTTTCTCAACAATCTCATTTGCTTCATCAACAATCTCACCTGCTTTATCAACAATCTCACTTGCTTCATAAAAAATATCACATGCTTCATCAACAATCTTACCTGTTTCATCTTCAATCTCACTTTCCTCAACAACAATCTCACTTGCTTCATCAACAATCTAACTTGCTTCATCAACAGTCTCACATACTTCATACAAAATATAATTTGCTTCAACAGCGATCTCACATGTTTCATCAACAATCTCACACGCTTCAACAACGATCTCACATGCTCCATCAACAATCTCACTTCCTTCATAAAAAATATCACTTGCTTCAACAACGATCTCACCTGCTTCATCAATGATCTCAGATGCTTCATCAACCATCTTAAATGCTTCATCACAAATCTCAGACGCTTCATCAACGATCTCACATGCTTCATCAACAATTTCACTGGCTTCATCAGCGATCGCACACGCTTTATAAAAAATATCACATGCTTCATCAACAATCTCACCTGCTTCATAAATGATCTCACATGCTTCATCAACGATCTCAAATGCTTCATCAAAGATCTCACATGCTTTATCTACGATCTCACACGCTTCATCGACGATCTCACTTGCTTTATACAAAATATCACATACTTCATCAACGATCTCACTTGCTTCATGCAAAATATCACATGCTTCAACAGCGATCTCACCTGCTTCATCAACAATCCCACATGCTTCATCAACGATCTCAAATGCCTCATCAACAATCTCACCTGCCTCATCAACAATATCACTTGCTTCATCAACAATCTCACTTGCTTCATGAAAAATATCACTTGCTTCAACAGCAATCTCACCTGCTTCATCAACAATCTCATCTGCTTCATCAACAATCTCACTTGCTCCTAAACAGATATCACCTGCTTTCTCAATAATCTCACCTTCTTCATCAACGATCTCACCTGCTTCATCAACAATCTCACATGCTTAATGAAAATTATCACCTTCTTCAACAACGATCTCATCTGCTTCATAAACGATCTCACATTATTCATCAGCGATCTCACATGCTTCATAAACGGTCTCATATGATTCATCAACGATCTCACACGCTTCATCAACGATCTCACATGCTTCATCAACAATCTCACCTGCTTCATCAACAATCTCACTTGCCTCATCAACAATATCACGTGTTTATCAACAATTTCACTTGCTTCATCAACAATCTCACTTGCTTCATCAACGATCTCAATTGCTTCATAAAAAATATCACATGCTTCATCAACAATATCACATGCTTCATCACGCTCTCACTTGCTTCATCAACAATATCACTTGCTTCATCAACAATTTCAGATGCTTCATCAACAATATCACTTGCTTTATCAACAATCTCACATGCTTCATCAAATATATCATCTGCTTCATAAACGATCTCACTTGCTTCATAAAAAATATCACATGCTTCATCAACGATCTCACTTGCTTCATCAACGATCTCACTTGCTTTATAAAAAAATATCACATGCTTCATCAACAATCTCACTTGCTTAATCAACAATCTCACATGCTTCATCAACGATCTCACCTGCTTCATCAAAGATCTACCTTGCTTCATAAAAAATACCACTTGCTTCAAACCGTGCGCACGAAGTAACAAAACGCCGGTGTACCATTTACCAGGAGTTCTCTTTCTGTTCTCATTAGTTTTTCCCAAATATATGATAGCCAATTCCTACTGATCAACGGGAAGCCTACATAACGTAAATATCGCGAACTCGACATTAACTAACAAGGCAGCTATGGAGATCTACTCAAAGAAGTTATTGATCTTTTATTTGCTATTGATTAGCATTTGGTATACACTATAATCATGGTATGAAGTTGTGTCTCCCTTAAAAGAATTTTGATTCGACAATATTTTCAAAAGTTATTGCCCTTTGTTCATTTCAGCATTTGATTTTTTGTCCGGCAACCTCCTCCTACATTTTTCAACCAATCTCTTTGAAACTAAGTAGACTTAATAATCATGATATATTGTTGTGTTTCCTTGAAAAGAATTTTGTTTCGACAATATTTGCAAAAGTTATTGCCCTTTGTTCATATCAGTATTTGATTGTTTATCCAAAGTTTTTCTCCTTCATTTTTATAGCATGTCAGCTAACCACTCTTTGAATGATGGAGATCTTATTTCAATGTAAGAAAGTATATAACACTATATGACATTCGGCGGGCGTATATTGTTCCGCCCCGCGTTACTCTTGTTATTGATTATGATTTGTTGACACTGATATTTACACTCAGATTGTTGGTATTCTCTTCTTGTGATATCTTTCCTGAATCAACAAGGCAGTACTGTATAC